AATCTAAAACCAACAATTTCAGTAATTGAACTAATCTGCTCCCTTGAGAAAAGAGGGGATGATAAATGAGCAGGAGCATCTTAGCTTCTGGAAATATGCAGAAGAAAGAACAGATTAGACAGACCTTTGTTTGCAGAATTGATTGAGATGTGGTATACAAAAGCTCCCACTTTCCATTCAATAAGCTTGACTTCAGGGGTTCTTTCACTTTATTAGCTGCCTCAAGTTTACTTGCAATCTGCAGACAAATTATGCATGATAACGCACCAGGAATGAAATAGGCACGGAAAGGCTTCAATGATAACCGAATAAGAGCTATCAACCAGCAATTTCCCCCTATTCGACTTGCTAAGGCCAAAGGAGGATATCGAAGACATTCCACAAACTAAACTCATCGCGTTCATTATGTCCACGTAAAAATGTCACTGATTCGTCTGAGCATAGTCCTAATCATGTTTATTGAATTGCACGAACCAATTCATACAAGCTTAAATTGTTGGAGATGAAACACTTTAATTATGTCTGCAATACACCCCTCATCTGTGACCAAATACTTTTTCCTAAACCAGCACACGGTGTACTGTTTTTGTTATAGGAGGAGGCAAGAATGAAACCAAAACGCCTACGTGCTACCATAGCATATTGAATAATTGTGTGAACCCCTCGTCTAAAAGATTAACTCACAGTAACTGGACACTTTATTTATTTAATTTAGCACTGCAATAAAGTCCCAAAATACCTAATATACAGTAACAAATTTTCAACTTCACGACAGCAGAAATTAACCGCGAGTAATTCGAAAATAGAGATTAAAAACCTGATCAACAAGCTTTTGGTCTTCAGTAGTAGCCTCGGCACCACGATCAAGAGGGGCTATGGCTTCTAGAAGCTCCAGCTTAAGGCTCTCAATGTCTTTGCTTTTGGTCGAGAAAAAAGGAAAGAAGGACACCTTTGTCCTCCATTTCCAAGATTCCGGTACTTGCTGCAATCGCCTCTCACAATAAGGCGCATGATTGACCGGTAAATTCTCGCAGAAGGGTTTTGATGAGAATTTTGCATTTGCTGGGAAAGAATGAAAAGTGGAGATTTCCTTTAGTTTAACTGAAGAAGATGAAGACAGAGAAAGAGTAGCCATTCTTATGATAATTTGCTACAAATTTTTAAATGTTAGTTTATTTTTGGTATATTATGGAGGAATTAGCCCTTGAGCGGATAAGAATTTCGCACATAGCTAATTTTCCGTTGGTTCCCGCCACCGTTTGGTGGCCTCTCTCATGGCCTCACACCTAAATTATTCTATGGTCATTTTTAATTTTGGGAAACTTCATACGTTTATCAAAAAAATTGCTTTCAAACATTTGTGGTAGGTTTCTATAATCAATTCTTTATTAGGAAGAAGGAGAAGATTAAGAGAAAGTTTGGATTAGTCGATTATAAATCATTGATAAGCTTGAAGTGTTGAAAATTATTTTTAAGTGTTTAAACTTATTTTTTAAATAAGTATTTACGTGTTTTGATAGACATGCTGAAACTAACGATAAACAGTTGATGTTTTTGGTAGAAAAATGTTAATAAGTTATTCTTTTATTAAAATGACTAAAATATCCTTAAAAATTTTACTAGAGATAATAAATTAAAAAGTATTTTAATAAAGAAAAAGATGAACAACGAATATGGAATGAAACGGAAGTTAGAAAATTTATTTTGTTAATTAGAAAATATTATTAAGGCTAAACTAATAAAAGCCTTGGTCAAACTATAAGCGCTTATAAGCTAAAAAATTATAAATTGGGGGTGACCAACTTATTACTTATGACTTATTTTAGCTAATAAGTACTTGGCTTATAAGCGGTTTGGGTATTTACCAAACGCGTAGATAAGCCAAAATGTGCTTATAAGTCAGTTTGATAAGCTTATAAGCTTAGAGGGTGTTTGGATTAGCTTTAAGCTAGTCAAATCAGCTTTTAAGCTTCTTTTTTTTAGCTTTTTTCGGTATTGGGCAAAGTCAAAAAGTACTTAAAATAAGTTAAAAACTACTTAAAACAAGTCAAAAGCAACTTATTACTTTTTGGTTTAAAAGCTATTTCCGTTGAAAAGCCATTTTTTTTAAGCCAATCCAAACGGGCTCTTAGTCAAACACCCTCTAACTTGCTTGCTTATCTTCGCTTATTCTCCTCTCATTTTCTTTTTTAGGTTAATAACTATAAATTTCTTTTTTGGAAAAAAGAGAAAAAAATTCCGTTACCGGGAATCGAACCCGGGTCTCCTGGGTGAAAGCCAGATATCCTAACCGCTGGACGATAACGGAAGCTTGTTGCTTTATGTGCACCGAGTTTGTATTTGAACGAGGCTACAATGCAAAAAGAAACTAATAAATAAAGCAAAAACAAAAAGAGGTTCGAACTTTTCCTCTTCTTTATTTTTATTTTTGGGTACATTTTTCTTCCAAAGCCTTCCCCTTAACCTTATTTCTACACTACAATTGCTGAACTGTTATATCTATGGAAATAAAAGAGATGTTATAGTTGATATAAACAATCCAGGGGTCTTTTTCTCTTTTCGTTACATTGAAAGCAGTGGCGACGAATCCAGGATTTTAGGTTTGTGGGTGCTTAACTTTTTCCTTTGACGATAAAACTAAGTTAATGAGAAAATACATAGTATTAGTATTTATGATATGCCGTGAAATTGTGAGAGAAAAAAGATTCGTGGTTTTTGCCGTCAAAGGCTGTTAACCTTTAAAGGGGTGGAACTTTGAAGTACCTTTTTAAAGCATATTTTCTTTTTCTTTTTTTGCTATAGTGAATCGGATAAAGTAAAAAAAAATCTAAATTAAAAAAGGTAAAATAAAAGTCAGCAAAAAAGAATAAGTAGCATTGGGTCAAAAATTGATAAGTGAACAACGAAGAAGACAAAATTGGGTTAAAAGGGCTTGTTTGGAGCAGGATTCGATCTATGGCCCTTACTCCCATAAATCCTCCAGCACCATAACTTAACCAAAGCACCCATAAAAAAATTTGTTTCTTGGGTGCTTGCCGCCTTATTATACAGTTTTGTTGAACTTTCTGTATAATTATACATATTCTCTGTTGAGCTCAATGGGTGCTTAATCACCTAAGTTCTATACCTAAATTCGCCCCCGATTGAAATATTATGTAAGAGGAAAAAAGTGACAGCAATTGCCTCTAAATCTACTCATAAATGCCTGTTGTTCTATGGAATTTGTCCCTCATTCTAGTCCATGTGAAAACAAGTTTATGAACTTCAAATTACTTGTTTTAGAAAGGATCCCTTTTAGGCTAAATTACATGGAATTGAACCAATCTTATGGAGTACCCTAAAAGGGATCCTTTCTATATCAACCATTTCGAGTCAAGAAAATGTAAAATCATGTTACCTATATAAGAATAGTGCATTTTGAGTCCCTCATTGCAAAACACATTCTTGTTAGATGGCAAACCCTCTTTGACTTTAATATAGATCAAGAGAGTTACAAACTTCCTCTATTTTCTAACAACAATATTTATTTTTCGGAAAAAGCAATAACAATGTAATATTATATAGACAAGCAAGATACTGAAGTCTCTTTCTTTATTTATGATATATCATCTTCAACTCACTTTAGGAAATGATTAATTTCTCCTCAAATTAGGTATTTACTTCACAATACAAATAAGTCTAGAATGTCCATCTTATCTGAAATGAGAAAATAATACAATATCGTCGTAAAGCAAAATAACTCGTTGATAAATTCCATGTATATAATAAACACAAGTGAATGCATATTCCCAAAGCATCACTGATTTCATCTATATTATATAGCTATAAAAGTACACTAAAAGTTCATTCTATTCTTGTACTTAAAAGGCGAATATAAAGTCTCATTATCTTTATGTCTCACTACAAAAATCTTTGTCCTCCGCCATCACCTCGGAACATTTTTAGTACGGTTGGGCTCATCCCGAGAACGTCTCTTAAAACATTGCTTGCAACTAAGGGTGTACATAGGTCGGGTTGGTTCGCATTTTTCAATTACCAAACCAAACCAATAATGCCAGGTTTTTAAATTTATAAACCAAACCAAACCAATAAAGTCGGGTTTTTCATCTCGTTTTTTCTCGAATTTTTTGATTTTTTCGGGTTTTTTCCCGGTAAAGTCGTAATAGCACAAAATATGTAACTTGTGCTCCAAATATTTATTTTAGTCATAGTAGGATACAACTATATAATGTATTTTTCGAGAAAATAAAATAATAATATAAGATGAGTCATAACATTGCACTAAAATATTCAATAACAAATATAATAAAACCGCACAAAGAAAATATTACTAATTAATACAGTATAATAAAAATTAACATAGTCTAAAAATACTATATAGGTCATGCTAAAATAAGTACAACTAATAAGTACTAGTATTAATTACACAACTAAGCACTGAAGAAAAAGATAAACTAGGTTATACATTTTCATTATAAATCTATGCAAAACTAAAGATAGATATCCAACATTATTGTAATTCCTAGTATTGAATTGAATTTTCTTTATTAGCATTAGTATTGATTTGAATTTTATATGACTTACTACTTTTATGGGCTATAAAATTTATTGGACCATTCAAGAATATCAAGTCCAAACTTTAGATAATACGCTTAAAGATAAAACTGTGAATAAGTTTAAAAAATATTTATATGTATAAAATATTTTTAAAAATTATACAAATGTAATGTCGGATTGGTTTAGTTTCGGTTTAACTTTTTTTTAGTTAAACGCCAAATCAAATCAAATCAAATTAAATCACAATCGACTTTTTTTTTTCCGATTTAACTCAGATTATCGGGTTTGTGTGATTTATTTAAGCCTCGGATACAACCATACTTTTGCTTAATTTTTGTGAGGTGATTCGTGATATTGCACTTCAAATCACTAATGAGTATCACACGCCTCAATCGGTCCTCCGCCGCGTGAAATATATAAATAGCAAAAAATGATGACATAGTATTATTTAGTACAATAGTTCATGCATCTCTCCAAATTTCGGTCGTCTTCTTCTTGGTAAACAAAAAGAAGTGGACATAAAAGAGAAACAGAAAGCAAAAAGGACAAAAAAATTTTGACCAGCATTTACTCTTGTTTTCTAGTATAGTTTTTACTTTGTTTGGTCTTCCTCTTTCTCAGAACCGTAACCGCTTCATTGATACCTAAGTTGCTGATTGTGCTTCTTACTTGACTTATTATCCCCTGTAGGTTCATGGCTCTTTCATGTTTCCCCCTTTTTTTTAGTTTATCAATTTTAGTTGCTCAAATGTACTTACATTTCTTTCTCTTATCTGGCTCTTGGTTTATTTTCTGTACATAGGTGACTCGAATTCTAAAGATTGCATCTTGGGTTGCTCAGAAGACACATTAGGTAAAAAAATCTATCTTTACTGTAGTTTTTTTTTGCACCTTATACTTACTGAATGTAGGTTCTGTAAAGCCAATTTCTTGATTTATTTTTGGTCCTTGGCTACCTTAGGAAAGACTCAAAGGAGGGTACTCATTTTCTTGAATTGGGTTACAGTGTCCAAGTTAATCATTGCTCAAAATTAGTGAAAGACTTGGACAATAGCTTGAACTTATTGTAAATTAGCTTTTAATACTATGTCGACAAGTTATGCTTGTTTAGTACTATTTTATATGTTTGAGTAGATGTGTAGACTTTTTCGTCCTGACAGTCTCTTGTTAGAATCTAATAAGATATTTAATTTGCCACCATGTTTTGAAGTTATGGGAAATTTTTCAAAAGAGAAGGGATGGAATTGCTTGTACTAATGCATCGAAAAGGATCTTATAATCGCTCTCTTTAAAAGAACCATTCCCCCTGAATTTGATCATGGATCGTAAATATTGAATTTCGGACATAATTAAAAAATTTGGGGCTCATTTTCATGATTCTTCTTTCTTGTTGTCTGATCTATACCTATTACTTCTTTTCCTACTTGGAAACTGAAAGAAGTAGTTCACGAAAAAGTGCAAGTACGTGAAGATGGAGGTACATGATTTTAGTTCAGATGCCTTTTATGCTCATTACGGCGACCTTTTTAGAGGTGTAGAATAGGTAAGGGTATAAATTAAGCGAAGCAATTGTATCTAGTTTTTCTGATAAAAGTATTTGATTGATGATACACTAGGTTCTTGCATTTACTGCGCTCGGTGGTGTCTAAACTGAACAGAAATAGTCTATTTGATCCTAATTGAGTCTGTGTCCACTGTGACATTAGGATTCTCAGTCGAGCCAACGCCACCTGGCATATATAAATGGACAAAAAGTGATGCATATATTTTAGTTCAGTTCATGCATCTCTCCACAATACGGTCGTCTTCTTCTTGGTAAACCAAAAGAAGTGGACATAAAAGTGAAACAGAAAAAAGGGACAAGTGGACAACAAAATCTGACCAGCATTCACTCTTGTTTTGTAGTCTTTCTTAGTTGGGTCTTCCTCTTTCTCCGAACTGTAATTCTTCGTTGATATCTAAGTTGCTGATTGTGTCTCTTCACTGTAGTTCTTGGCTTGTTATACTCTGTAGGTTCCAAGGCTCTATCATCTTTCCCTATTTTCATTTATTGATTTTCGTTACTCAATGCACTTACATTTGTTCTTTCTGATCTAGTTTTTTGTTAAATATTTTAATTTGGGTGTTGATTTTTATGTACATAGGTGACTTTGGAATTCTTAAGAACGCATTGTAGTTTGCCAAGAAGATACAATAAGGTCGATAATTGATCTTTACTTTTCTTTGCCCTTATGTCACTGCAAATGCATCTTTTTACCCTGGAATTTTAGGTCCTGTAAATCCAATTTCTCGAATACTTTTTGTCCTTGATTACCTTAGAAAGGACTCAAGGGAGTGAACTCATCTTCTTGAATCAGGTTATGGTATCCTAGTTCGCAGATGTCAATTATTGCTCTAAATTAGTGAAAGACTTGGACAATAGCTTGAACTAATTTAAATTAGCCTTTAATACAATGTCTATAACTTATGCTTGTTTAGTATTTTAGTTTTTTAGAAGATGTGTTGACTTTTTCTTTCTGGTTAGAATCTAATTTTGCGAGAACAATGATGCTTATGCCTTTGATTCACCGCCATCAGTTGCTAGTTCTTTTTCTTATTCTTCAATGATAGTGGCATGAAGGATTTCTGCAGGTACTCTGATTAAGCAGGTCTCAGCTCGAAAACACTTTTCTTTTTTCTCTGTGTTCTTTACTGAGAAGGGCTTTTAGATAACTTGATACTTAATTTGCTAACAAATGTTGAAGTTATGAGAATTTTACAAAAGAAAAGGGATGAAATTGCTTGTACTAATTCAACAAGAAATATCTGTGTAATTATTGACTTTATACCTCATGATTTTGATTATGGATTGTGAAAGTTGGATTCCGCTAATTATATGTAATGTGTTTCATCTTCATATTTCTTCTTGTTGCCTTCAGAATTATCAAAGCAAACTGATACAACCTATTACCTTTTTCCTGCTTGGAAACTGAAAAACGTTGGTAAGTAGAGGTACATGAATCTTAGGTAGATGATTTTGTCTAGGGTGCGCTTATACGCGTTAGTCGTTACAACTTAACTTTTTGGAGATATAGTATTGGTAAATCTCTATTGCTACATGTTGTCCATTACACTTGTTTCTTAATATCACGTTGTAGTTACTGCTTGTTGCTACTGCTTTCTTTTCATCTTTCCTTGAACCGGGGTCTATCGAAAACAACCTCTCTACCCTTAAGGTAGGGGTAAGGTCTGTGTACACACTATCCTCCCCACTGAGTTTGTTGTTAGTATTGGTTAGAGAAAATATTTAGTGAAACTTTTATATCTATATCTTCGGATAAACATAAGTATTTCATTGACACACCAAGATGCTATAAATAGATGTTTATATTGGGTTTCTGGCATAACCACTTTCATATATGGGTTAACCGAACTATCTATACAACAAGGAATTCTCTCTTACCCAACAACTGAAACAAAAATAAGTTTTTAATATTTTATATATCATGCTTACTGCTTTGAACAATCTTCTATTTCTTTCGATCACGAATAATCTAAAAGGACACACTTCTCCAACCATAGACCCCCCAAAATAAAAGAATAGATCCAAGAAGGCACAATGGTGTAGTTCGCCAAGCTGCCGCTCTTTTTTTTTGTCAATCTTCTGTAGCCCCAAATCGGTAGTACTTCATCCCATCTTCTAGAAACACCAGTATGATATTAAAGAGGAAGCACAGAGGTCTCGATGTGGATGAGGCACGAGAGTAACAATTTGGAGATTTCAAGTTCAAATCCCAGATACAAAGCTTAATGTGCCATTCCTCCAACAATGGTGGACATGATTATCAGGGCAATCTATGCTTGTGTACTAGACTCGATGGATTAGTCAAGTATGTGCAAGGTGTTCAGACATCACTAATATATAAAAAAAGAAGAAGTATGCAAGGTTGCACGAGTTGATATGAGACTGCAGTGCATAAGAGGGTGTTTTGCATCTTTTCCATGTTTTACATAGACAACACCCACTCTTAGCGATTTTTTGCCTTACCTTAAGTTAGTAGTTGTTACTGTAGCATCCCTCACTATCAGCAAGGAGAAGTAGCATCCCTCATTACAAGTAGGAAGAAGAAACTATTTTCTTGGTAGTCTAGTATTCCTAATATTCTTCCAGACTTCCCTCTTTGCCCCTTCTAATAGTTGTATGTAACATAGTCTCACCGTGAATGATTTCCACGTAGCCACCCTCCGTATTATCTTGTCTATCGCTTTCCTCCCTATTAAGGTATCACATAATCCATCCGTTTCAATTTATGGTGTAGTTTGATTCAACACGAAGTTTAAGAAAGAAGTGAAGATTTTTGAAACCTGTGATCGTAAATATGCCATAACATTTGTGTGGATGTAAGACTTTTGAACTTCTGGTCTTAAACATGTCATAACGTTTGTGTGGCTATACAAACTTTTTATCAAGGGTAAAATGAGAAGTTCAGGGTAATTTATTTCCAAATTTAAGGTGTCATTCTATTTTAAATGGATTGTTTAGAAAATAGTGCCATTCTTTTTGGAATGGGGGAGTATTTTATATAGGAACTCTTCATTATCCTTATCTTTTTCCAATCTTGAACGGCCCTTATGAAACTTGAAACCCATGCAATTCACTTTCATCCTTTTTGTAAATAAGTAGCCACCATAGTTTCTCTACTATAAGGAGACATTAACCATTTCGCAATGGTGTGTATTTTAGTACGAAGCTTTTTATTTCCATTAGCGTTGAAAAATCCAAAAATGAGAAAGAGTTCGTTTTCCATGTCACCAAATTTCTTACAAGATCTTTAACTAAAATGAATAGGCCTTTTCTTTTATAAACCAACCATAGGGAACTGGTTCCGGAGATAATCTTATGATATGTTTGCGCTTTGCTTGTCTTGCTCTATCACCCAACACAAGTTTCTATGATGATATGAGACTACAATGCAATATCAGATGCATAATATCTTCTCGATGTTTTCCACACAAGTAATATCAACTCGTAACAATTTGCCGCCTTCCCTTAAGTTAGCCGCCGTATCTCATTCCACGTTATCAACAAGAAAAAAAGCTACTTTCTTTGGTATTTTGGTATTCAAAATATTCTTCAGCACCTCACCTTTTTTCCCTTTTAATAGCTCCATGTACTATTGTCGCAAATGATTTTCCCTAGGCACCCTACATATCATCTTGTCAATCCCTCCCCTCTCTATTGAGGTGTCCTATATTTTCTATAGAAATTCCTTAGCCTTATTTATTCCTAGTGTTTTTAAAAGTGAAAAGCGCAAAAGCGACAAAGTATATGGGGCTCGAAGCGAAAAACGAGAAATAAAGTGATCGCTTCTTTCCATCTCAAAAAAGTGCATAATTGTTTGAAGTGAAGTGCACAAATTATGGAAAACTAAAAATACCAATTATAAATGAATTTAGTACTATAATAATCAAATTGCAAATAAAATAACTAGTTTTAATCTGCAATATTCAATAAGTGCAAAATAATCCAACTCCTCAAAGTTGATGTTCAAAGACGAGGTCTTTGTTTTAATCACTTAGTGCTTCAATATTTGAAACACATGGCTTAACCCCTGACATGATAATCCCTAGCTTCATGTTGCTTCATTACTTTAAGCAACAATGCGATAGCGCCCTCGTGAAACTTATGTCTCGTATACTTTACTTCTATACCTTCTTTAATGATTAGCCATCATAGTTTCTCTATAATTATGAGAAATTAACCATTATGTGAAAGTGCATATCTTGTACTTACCTTTTCTTTTCCACTAATGTTGAATATTGAAAAAAAAAAAGGATGGAAATCTTTTCCATGTCAGCTCAATTTCATGACACGATCTTTACCTAAAATGTCTTGACTTTTTTCTCCCTAAAACCAGAGACGTGAAGGGGATCGGATTTAGGAGATAATCTTTATATGTCCGTCTTTATTGTGACAACACATATTGTCATAATTGTGATATGAGATTACAATGCAACATGTGGTGATAACTATCTTCGCCATGTCTCTAGTCTCTACATAAGTTACACCAAATCATAATATGGTTTGTCGCCTTCCCTTATGTTAACCACATTTATATAGGATCCCAATTCATCAACGAGGGGGGAAAGCTATTATATATTGAATGAAATCTCAAAGAATCTCATTTTCGATCTCACTAAATATGTATACATCTTAAGATTTACTATACCATTTTAATTCAAATTAACAGTTTTAAAATCTTTTTGTTTGTGAGGAGTTGGATGAGAAGAAACTCCTACGTCCGATTTTGTAGTAGAGATGGAATTCAGAAACAACCGTCAACCATACCCTAAAAGACCCAGATTCCGTTCCAGTAGCCCTATGTAGTATGATCTCATTGAAATAATTATTCTCTCGACACCCTCCATGTCATCTTGTCCGTTCCTTCCCTTCTTATTGAGGTGTCATACATTTTCTATGGGAACTCCTCAACTTGAACATATTCACCGGTTCATGAAACTTATAAGCCATGTAATTCCCCTATCACCCCTTTTTAAAAAATGTAATTAGCATAGCTTCTTTTATTTATGAGAGATAAACCATTTTGGAAAGTATCTTTTGTACTAACCTTTTATTTTCCAATAGTTTCCGGAAGATCCAAAGCAGATAAGATTTTTCCATTTTAGCTAAATTTCATAAGATGATCTTTACTTTAATGGCTTGATTTTAACCCTAACATGATGAAATGAAACTGAATAAGGAGATAATCTTAATATGTTTGTCTTTATCTATCACCCTACTAATATTGGTTTGACCGATGTTCTAATAATTATCTTGGTAAATGTCTGATTTATGTGACCACATTTTATTTTGGTTAGTTGTTCCGACAATTGTCGGCCTTCTTTCTTCCCAGTGATGCCGGCCTTAATTACCAGCCTATTGCTTCCCGAAAATATCAGACTTCTGTCACAGCTTTTCTTTAGGTTGTTTGTTGGCCTTAATTGCTGACTATAGTACTCTTTTTATTTATTTATTTTGGATAAAGAGCTGCCTATTGTTCTTCCGGGCAACTAGGCACTATATGGTGATTGTTAACTGTTATGAATGTAGTATTTCATTAATGTTGATTTTTCCATATTAGCTTTCAGGCAGAAGTAGTTTCATCACTATGAGCTTGTGTTAGGAAGTCAAACAGGCCATTGATAGGTGCACACATAATGAATGTGTCAAGCCGTGCAATAAATGCGTAATTTATAGATATCCTTCACATTCATCCCTCTATTTTCTATTGTGTAAGTCATGCCTATATGTAAGTGTATCTTGTATTTTGGTAAAGAAAATGTAGTGCACATTAAGTTATCCACTACTATGTCATTGAAAATAAGGAACGTTATTCAATATGACTACATTTTTTTCTCTATTTTTTCTTCCTTTTTTTTAGAAGGGTAAATTTCAGTCATGATCAGCAGGTGCTGTAAGTTAGAACTTCTACATCTTCTTCTTCCCTATAGATATTGGGCATTATAGAAATATCATCTTACCGACTTCCCTATCTGTGACACAAGTCATTTCCTTTTCACTCGAGATTTAAGCCAAACGAGTCAAATGTTTATTCTCCTTGGTTGCTTCATTTTTGAATAAGCATGGTGCATGAGTTACCTAGCCTGAAATTTAAATGCTTAGGCCTTTTTCCCCTTTTCTTTGGTGGTTGGCATTTCTTGAGTTAATTCAAAATCTATCAGCAACCTGCTTCCATCGGAAACTTTCTTTACTAAAGAGGTTACTTTCATGTGACATACTAATTATTCGATTCTTTTTTCTTTCCTTTTTTTGGTTTGATAAACTACCGGTATTTGATATGAAACAAAATCTCTAAGCTCAATAATCTTTCTGTTTCATTGATAGGTTTCAGCTCAAGCTTCTGTCGATAGACCAAAGAATTTGTGTATTAACTTCTAGTACAAAAATTATTATTTTTCATTGTGACATAAAAAGGGTTAAGGAACAGTGCCAGTGCCAGTGCCTGGAGTTTTAATTGCCGTAATGCACAGGGGGACTCTGAACATCTTGCTAGTTTAGTTGAGTTTGTGATAATATTGACCACCAACTGGGGGGACTTCAAGCTACAACTTTATGTTACTTTCAAGGTGTTTAAGAAATGCTGGTGCTATTGTTCTCCACATTTTCAATGTTTGTAAAAGCCACCTTTGATGGTTATTATAGTAGGAAGAATATGAGATAGGAATTACAGAGGGCGTGATTGCTGGTTAAAACTGACAGGATATAGGTGGGGGGGAAGTTATTTGCCTCAGCAATGTTTATTAGGTACATTACCTTGTAGCAATCATTTCGATCAGCCTAAGCTACCTCTTCAGTGTTCCAATGACTATTTCTTCTCGTGTCTCCTTATATGTTATTGTGAAGCTTTGTGGTCAATTGAACCCATTTTATCTCTGTAATTAAATCATTCTATATTGAACTTAAAGGGCGTTGAAATGCAGAATAAAGTGCCTTTAGAAGCTTTCTGAATCATATGATATTTAATTGTTGTTTCTGTCAGATTTATACTCAAGGAATGATTGATCGGATGTGATACCTGAGATTACTTCAAGTATCTTTCCTGTATTTGCATATAGATTTATGTATATGTCAAGTATAGAAGATCCTGTTTCTTGCAGTTCCTCTTATTCTGGCCTATTTTAGACCGTAAGAAGTGGCTATGCTCCTAAGTTGGAACTGCTAAGTAATATTTATCTTAGGACTGTTTTTTTACTCATCATTCTTTTTCTGAACTGTAATGGCTGAGACTCCATTTTTAATTGTGACCCCTGTTCAAACTTTTGTGTGAGGATATAGCTCCAGTCTTTGCCTAGAGGGTGTACTGAGAAGCTCTTCCTTTTTCTATTTGGCAGGGAATCTCATTCTTTGATAAAGTATTTGACAGGGAATCTCATTCATCTGGGTTATTGAGAAATTTCAGTGTAGCCATAATGCGAGCAGCTGTCATCTGAGTTTGAAATGCTAGGAACGACAAAATTGTACATAGCTATATGTTTCCAGGAAGATTTTCTATGATGGATGTAAATCCTAGGTATGTGGTTGAAAGGGATAATGCTTTGCAAAGAATTCAGCATGACTTGTGGCCACTGGATGAAATTGATCCAAAGAAAGAAAAGTTCCCTTGTTGCCTTGTTTGGACTCCTCTCCCTGTGGTTTCTTGGCTTGCACCTTTCGTCGGACATGTTGGCATATGCAGGGAGGATGGTACTGTTGTAGATTTTTCTGGATCCAACATGATTAATGTTGGTAATCTCTCATATGGAGCTGTAGCCAGATACTATCAGCTAGATAGACGGCAGGTATGTGTCCATGACTGCTTTCATCCATTGCAAAGTCCCACCCCATCCCCCTAAAAAGAAAGAAGCAAGAAAAGTTAAATAGGCACCTGCAGTAGATCCCTTCAACCAATGGCGGAACCAGGATTTTCAGAAAGGGGGAGTCAAAATATAAAAAATTAAACACATGAAGAAGTCAAGGGGAGTCGACATATAGTATTTTTACATTAAAAAAAAATCTTTTTACCTAGCTACGTAGTGTTATTTTCCGCGAAGGGGTATCAATTCGCACCCCTTGGTTAAAGGTGGCTCCGCCGCTGCCTTCAATGACTTTTAGAACTCTACAAATAGGTTTTGGTAACTTTCTTTATCAACTTTGTTTATGCTTAAACAGTGCTGTTTTCCTCCCAACCTTGCTGGACACACATGCAAGCAGGGTTATCAACACGCGGAATTTGGGACAGCAGTAAGTTGGGATGATGCTCTTCACTCTTCTATGTGCAGCTTTGAGCATAGAAATTTCAATCCTTTCACTTGCAACGACCACTCATTTGTCGCTAATTGCCTGAACCGGCTATCCTATGGAGGATCAATGAATTGGAACATGGTTAATGTTGGAGTTCTTGTACTGTCCAAGGGGCAGTGGGTTAATAGCTTGTCAATCTTAAGATCATTTATGCCTTTCATTGTCATGGTTTGCTTTGGACTTTTAATGGTCGGGTGGCAGTTTCTGATTGGTATATCAAGCTTTTTTCTTCTTGTTGCTGGATGGTATATCTTGGCAACTTACTGTTTCAACAATCTGGATGAGTATTAGGTGGTTGACAAAGAAACTGAAAATGTTTTTCCTTAATAAACTCTTCTCTTGTTGAAGAACTGGACACTTATTTCCTGTAATGTAAAAAAATGTTGTATGTAATAGCAGAATCCTTTTTATCCTTTAGCTTAACAAGTTATGTCTAGTGGGCTGTTCCTGTCAAATAATGAGTTTCTAAACGCAGCGAAAAGTGAAAATATCAAACAAATATATGATACTTAAATTAGACAGGGTATGTTTTAAAGTTAAAGTTGAAAAAGAGTTTTTGAAAGTAATAATTTGGACTCTATACCATATTTTACTACAACAAAGATGAAAATTTTAAAATGAGACCAATTTAAAAGCATGTATGTATTGGTTTTAAATGTAGAAGATAGAAATTTATTGGTGTAATTCGAGACAATAGGATGGATTTTGATTCCATATATTTAGATTATTTGTAACCTCTAAGAAGCAGTATGAGGTGTATTGGTACAAGACAAAAATATGTTACTTTTGCTACCACTATAATCAACAGCCTCAAAAGACAAAGAAAATGACAAGAAAAAATGAAGAATCTAAAATACTACAAAAGGAATATAAATAATTAATGTATAGATGGATTTCAAATGATCCAAAAATTACGTGAAGTACGTTTCTGGTTAGCGCATCACCCGCGAAAGCAACTGCATTATCATCGGCAATGATTTTTTTTCTTTCTTTTTAATATTATGTTATATTTCCAAGTAGACTGCACATACTAAGCTATTTTTAATCAAATGAAAATATAAAAAAGGTGTAAGATTCTTTTCTTTTAAAGTACCAACTCTTTTGAAAAATCACGACTACTTTTTTTTAACTATGGATTTCGTATCATGAGAGGTTTATTAATATAAATTGAGTAAAACAATATTTATTGGCATGTTGATTTGAGGTAATCACGAGTTAAATACTCTTACAAACCGGTGCATTATCCATAAAAAGAAATAATAATTAAAAGAACTTTTACTAATTCTAAAAAATATATATAAAAAATTCTTTACCTAAATGCCCACAACAAAATGTAACCAGTACTTTCGCTATCTCATTTTACATGGCATATTTTTTTACCCTAATTTTTTTTATTTTATATTTAAAGATAATTTAATTTAATTTTTTTGTTTTACTCTTTCTTTTTTTAATTTTTTGTTTTTATGCCCGGACAGCATTAATAATGAATCTATATATGTTAAAATTAAAATAGAAAAAAAAAGGTAAAGATTTGTTTCCTGTAAAGGAATCATCAGCTTGTGCTTCTTCCCCAAGCATTCGACAGAAACTGAAACACGTCTCTCTGTCAGTACCCATCCACCTCGT